GTCCTTTTAGAAGTTGGTTAAAAATGAATATAATGTTAGTAAAACCATAAAATATACACTCTTTTATATAATCGTAGTATGAGTATATTACAAATCGTCGCCTTGCTTTCTCAAACTCGTATCTTAAATCTACAAAGTTACTGAAATGCAAAACATGGATTGCATATACAAATGTTGCAGTTGATATAACACCACATTTCCCTCATATTCACACACTGCCGTTTGCCCATTCTTAAAGTAATTTATCCAAATTAACACCCTTGATAAGACATTTTAAATAAATAGAAAGTTTTGCCATCTCTTGAATAACTACTCTTTATAAGATACGAGTTTGAGAAACTAAGTCATCGAAATGTCTTTTCACAATGAAACCGGTAAACATCCTCAAGGGGTTGCTATAAAACTGTCCAGGGGACTAACAAACCAGAGGAATGATAGTAACTACCAGGGGAAACGAGAAACTGAGATAAATAGCTGCGAGCTACAATGGAATTGGCAAATAGAGGGATTCGAAACGTCTGTCCGACAGACTGTAATTAAGGCTGGGTAGGAAACAATTGAAGAAGCAAAATTTTAAACGTAAAAAGTTGAATGAATCGGTTTTTAAACACGGGATTGGTTTAATGAACTCTATGGTTAGTAATGTACCTCTATAATTAAGCTTATATTACATATTTTTTAATGATATTAAATAACGGCAAGATTAATTCTCTGCCCGCAGATTTATTTCCCGAACACTATTTTAAGTCTTTTCAAGGTGATAGTGAGTAGGCATTATTTAGATGTCCACGTTCTATCGTCAACCTTATTGTCACTTTCCATCAGGTGAGGTGTAGGCATCGAGTAGGTATATAACCAGAAATAGAGACGAAATTAAGGGCCATCCAACCCTGGCAATTCATCAAGCAAGTGGGCCTTATATCACTTTTAAATAGCAACTCTCGTTTGTACTGAAATTACGAATTAGAAAGTTGATATAGTACAGCGCCAACAACTGACCTGTGTGTACGTCTCCGTATATTCCAAAAATATTCTGTATTTATTATAATAAAGATAATATCTCTAACAATGGGGGCTGTTCACTTCGGTGGTGTGGGAAAACAGCAAAAGATTTAATTACAAAACAAACGGAATCACATTTCATCGATAATTGAATATTAAATACGTAATTGTTCAATTTTCGTCCAATATATCTGGTAACGCCAGATAGTTTGTCTGAGCTCGCACCTCCTTACCTTTCCCATCCCAATCTGTGCTACGCCAAAAACGCATAAATCGCCAGTGAAATTAAAAATAATTGTTTGTGTGACGTTATATTCGAACTAAAAAATCCGCATCTGCGACATCGCATTATTTTTAAATTAAATATCCCGCATCTCCGCCCGGCATTGAGCCGCGTACACAACGGCCTGCAAAAACTATAATATATGGAGGGAATATTTGTGCACTTTTATGAGGTACACCCTGGTCAATTTCCGCCGGAAGTAAAAAATTTTCGAAATTCAAATAAATAAGATGGCCGCCATACAAATTCCAAAGTCTCCTACCACGGAAACTATTATAGATAGGTATGAGGTGCTCGAAGGAATGTCATAGAGATTATTAGTGATCAACTGCCTGGGTTAAAGAACACAAGATGGCGAATTCAAAATGGCGGCTGAAGAAAAATTTGCTTCGATCCGGCTGAAAATGGGGGTCTTTAGGAATCCTTAACCATAATTTGGGGTCAAAAGTTTCTTTTCGCCATTTTCAATTATGGCCGCCATAGAAGCGTTCGTTGGCGGCAGAAAAAAAATGCTCTGATCCCTTTGAAAATTGGCATGTGTGGGTCTCTAAGAATGTTTGGTAATAAATTGTGATCAAAAATGGTTTTACGCCATTTTTTAATATGGCCGCCATTCAAAATCTAATAAAAATTAGCTCTGATTCAACTGAAAATCGATACGTGGGGATTTCTATAGGTGTTTGATAATAATTAGCGGTCAAAATTTATTTTTCGCCATTTTTCAATATGGCTGCCATACAAACTTTTTTGGGGGTAGATAAAAATTTCTTCTAAGTCGACTGAAATGGAAAAAATTTAATCTCAATTTCGGGTAAAAATGTCGTTTATGCCGTTTTTTGATATAGTCGTAATTTTTTATGTAAATGGCTATTGAAAAAACTTGCTTTGCTCGAACTGAAAATTGGCACGAAAAGATTTCTAAGATTGTTTGATAATAATTAGTGGTCAAAATATATTTTTGATATGGTCGCCATTAAAGAGCTATTTAAATTTTTTAAAACAAAGGCATAAGTGCCGAGGCCGGAGGCTGAGGTCCGCGTAGGGCGAGGCTCGAAGCGTCCGCACGCCATCAAATGGAGATAATATACGGAGACGTAAGAGATTACGAGTACAAGATCTCGTTACAATTCGTTACAATTGTAAAAATGTAAAGCATGCTTCCCGATGTAGTTGATATGAGATACTTATTATAGCGTTGTTGTATCTCAACCGTCTCTATGTTAGATTTTATTTTCTTGAAAGCTATGCCAAAGGGAAGTATTTAGGGGGAAAAAATGCCAAACTACTGCCGAATTTCCTGTACTATCGAGGTACTATGAATACCAAATCAACGATACTCAGAATACTCAGACCAAAACCAACTTAGAAATATTCGTTTCTTAAATTGGCATAAATCGGGAATCGACCTCCTCATCAAGCGCCCATAGTAACTAACTGCTGTGCCACCGAAGAGCATGAGCACACCCCGTGTACACCGCGTTATATGTAACTTAGGTTACTTATATTTAATTTTGCCGCGTCGTTGTCATGACTACGAAACAAACAAAGTCAAAAAAATCTGACGATTTCTCAGATGCGGATTCTGAATATCCGCAGCTGTTAATGATACAAGCTAAAAAGGCAGCTGTGTTTGAAATAATTCAGAGTATTTATGATTCGTCTGCGAGTAGTAATAAGACCGCTGAGACGAGGGAAAGTTTTCTCGCTGAAAGCTTTTACGCACTGAATTCCTTGAGTTATTGGATAATTATAATACGCGCTTATTGACTATTAATTCCGCTGGAATACTTGACTATAAATGTCTAATTGCTTTCGAACAATTGTACAGTCGCATCAAGCGGCTCCAATCGCAGTACTCGACTTCTTCATCAGTTGGTGATAATGTCGCGTCGCACAAAAGTAAACCTCGGTTACCCCCTATCGAGTTGATGTCTTTTTCAGGTGACATTCGTTCATGGCCATTGTTCTATGCTAGTTTCAAGTCGACGGTTCATTATAATCCATCGCTCACGGATGCCGAAAAATTATATTATTTGTTAGGTAAATTGTCAGGCAAAGCTCTATCTGCGTGCGCAGGTATTACACCTAGCGCCGAAAATTAAAATTTGTTATTGCAATCGCTTATTGATAAATATGAAGACAAGCGTATGCTCGCCTCCGCCTATCTAAATCAGTTGTTCGATTTCAAGCCCATAAGCGCCGCATCAACAGATAACTTCGACTTGTTTTCTGATCGACTTGTCAGTGCAGTCCGCGCTTTGGATAATTTAAAGATAGACAAATTGAGTGATCTTATTGTATTGCATATTGCTTTGAAAAAGTTACATTCAGATACGTTCTAAAATGCCTACTTTTGATGAGCCCGTAGTGTTCATAAAGAACCGCTCTAAAGTGTTCGAACGTACACAACTTCTTCCGCTAATAAGAATTTAAATAAAAATGACCGCCCTCGCTCTAAAGACAATAATAATATTGTAAAGTCGCCGCCAAAGTATCACGCTTACGTAGGTACAGTCGACCCCGCTTCTAAGTGCTTGTGTACAAATATAACGCATCAGCATTTATTCAAATGTCCCGATTTTAATAAAATGAAGCCCGCGGAACGTTTCAGATACGTGAACACGCAACAAATGATGAAGTGTTTTACGCATACTGGCTGTGACTACGCGAGTCGTGGATTCAGGAGCGAAAAGGCATATACGTCTCTTCACATGTTTGACTACACGCGCTGTCAATATTGAAGTCGCTACCGACCTCAGCACTCCCAGTTTTCTCGCTGCTCTTAAACGTTTCCTCGCGCGTCGTGGCCCTGTCCAGGTAATGCACTTGGATAACGCAACTAACTTTAAAGGCGCCAACGCTTACTTACGCGATTTATATAAATTTTTAAATGACTAATATCGTCCGAAATTGGAATTAGAGTTTGCTGAGAGTCGTATCACTTGGCCATTTATTACACCCACTTCTCCCCATAAAGATGGAGCTTGGGAGAGTATGATCAAAGTAGTAAAAACGCATCTGTACCGTGTAATTGGTCGGCAACTGCTTTCTTTCGAGGAACTTTGTACTGTCCTCACTCGGATAGAGTCTTTACTTAACTCTCGTCCTGATCCTGGAGAAACCTCTGCTCTATCACCAAGCCACTTT